TTGTTGCTGATAGGTTAAGCTTTCGAAACTCTGCCCCAAAGTGACTGATTTTTCGCCCTGTTTCGTTGGTTAAATGCAATGATCACAGGCACCACCATGGTAACTGGGATGTGTAGTTTTTAATTCCGTTTGAATTATAACTGTACGTACTGTCTTCATATTTGGCCAGGGCTTTAAAGACAAAAAATTTCGGTGCCGTCGTCTCCGCTTTTAAGGTATCCCCGTGCTGGAAGAATTTGACCTCGGAACGTTTGCCCAGCGTATTATTATCCTTTGCCATTTAAATTGCCAACAATGTACTTGTTTCTGTTTTCAGGTATGCCATCAAGGACCTGCTCAACCATGCCTTCTTCCAGGAGGAGACAGGGGTGCGAGTGGAGCTGGCAGAGGAGGACGATGGGGAGATGATTGCTATCAAGCTGTGGCTGCGTATTGAAGATGTGAAGAAGCTGAAGGGGAAGTACAAAGATAACGAAGCCATTGAATTTTCATTTGACTTAAACAAAGATGTACCAGAAGATGTTGCCCAGGAAATGGTGGGTTCTCTTGAGAAGTCGACTGTTATTACCATAGTAGTTTAGATACACAGTTTAAATGGAAATTTCTTGTGGAATGCATTTGTTTTTCTTGTCAGCTGATACCATTTATGTTTTTAGTTCACTTTTGCTTGGTTTCTTAAATTTATAAATAATTTTTTTCTCCTATGTCTTTTTTTTCCTGTTTCCCAGGTGGAGTCGGGATATGTGTGTGAGGGAGATCATAAGACCATGGCCAAGGCTATTAAGGACCGAGTGTCTCTGATTAAGCGCAAAAGGGAGCAACGTCAGTTTGTGCGGGAGGAGCAGGAGAAGAGGAAGCGGGAAGAGCAGCAATCAGACCTTCAGAAAGTCCCTCCAGGCTTGTCCCAGGCCCTGCAGACCCAGTGTGCTGTCCCAGTTTCTGGCTCTGCCTCAACCACTGTCCCAGTGCAGCCGGAGTCAGAGGAACCAGAGGCAGATCAGCAACTACAGTACCAACAGCCTGGCATTTCCATGACATGTGCGCTTGTTAATCTAAGTACTGCTCTTGCACATAAGTGTTGGAGCTAGGGCTTTATTGTAACAGTAAATTTAAAAGAAGGGGTAGAGGCAAGTTTGTTCTAAAGGGTTCTCAGTGATTTGTGGAGCAATAGTAGCCATAAAGAATGAAAGGTAGTTTATCTGTTTGTGATTGTTCAGGTATGCCAAATATGATCACTCATTTAATCGAGTGGAAAATCCCTACACAAAATTAAACAATTCACCTTCTTTGACTAGCTCAGGTTATTGGCAGTTTGTAAATGGCTGCTAATAAGTTCTCCAAGAAAGATGAGGTTCATCAAGGAAAATATTTTTTATATCCAGTAAACTTTCTTTCAGATGAATGTGGGCTAAACCACAATATAGACTCCTAAATAACCTTAACATGTCCAAAAGGTAAAACTCAATAAAAATGCCTGACACACTCTTGAATTCTCTTGTAATAGGTTTAAAGGATTATGTGTAACAATGTAAGAAAGTCAATGATTGCTTTTTACTTTTTTAAATAATAATGTCAAAAAGGAACAAGTGGAAACGCATTGCATACCCTGATGCTAAATTCTAGCTTCTAATATTTTTCACAACATATTTTGTTCAGGTTTCAAAAACAAAGCTATTAAAACAAAAAAAGCTTAGGATTCATTAAACTGTACTGAATGTCTCACTATTATTGTGTTTTCATTTAAGAAAATTAATCACTTTTATTTTCTATAATGTCCTTCATAATAGTTTGCCACATATAGCTTTACAGATTAGTATTACAGGTAACATTATAACAGTTATAAGAGGACTATTTATAGTTAATATGAATTATTTAGTATGGGAGTGAGCTTCATTTTATTATTTTCTTTGATTAAATCTGGTGACTTGTGTTTAGAAGCTTATTTCTGTTTCCTAAGCTGATGGAACAGCAGACAGTGGTCAAGGATCCTCTGTGTTCTCGGAGTCTCATCTGGGAAGCCAACCGACCATGTCTTACAACTCTCCTCCAGAACACCCCTTGTCCTCCAAGCAGTCTACAGGGTACCCTGCATCCAGTAGCCAGATCAACCAGCCGCAACAACACCAACAGCAGGGAAATTACCAAACACCATCCTTGGTAAGTGGACTTGTGTTAAGCAAGAGCAGATGTATATTACTGGTAGATAGTAAAGATGAACACTCCAGAATACAAAAATTAAAATGAACTGAATGTTAACAAGTTAGACATTATCATTTGCAAAGGTATTTCTTCAGGTAGGACTTTGGTTGATCTTAGTCATGCAGTCTGGTCTGAATATATTTTTTTCTAAAAAAAAACATCACTTCAAATTCCTTTCTCTTTGACTATAAAACAACATGCCTATGTTGGTGTGTGTCTGCAAGGTAAATTATAAGCTTAAAATGGTCTGTTTTTTTACTGATTTACTGTCATGATCACTTTTCAACAAAATACTTGGATAACTATTTTGTTGCAGGAGTGTTTAGGCTGATGAACAAGGTTGTGTTATTTGATAGTGGGTAAATTCAATCTTTTATCTTATATCAGCTAATATGGTAAGTTTAGAATTTAGAAAGTAAAAAAAGTTTCTTAATTGCAGAGCTTTACTAACCTCTATGTCAAGCATCCTTATCCTAAATATTAATAGTCCCTATTTGAATTTTAAATGATCAAAATTTAGAAATTGTATTAATCATTTGAATTAAGTCTTCATAAAATCAAGGGATATGTTGGATAATAAAATATAAATATAACCACCCTTATTTTGGTGGTTATTCAGAAAACAAATTAGACTGACTGGTCTAAACCTGTCTGTCTTGAAATGGTACAGCAGTAAAAATAATTTCATTTCTTAGTTGCAAAACACTGCAACTGAGAACAAAATCTTGAGCTTTCCCCTGGATCTTTAGTGACCATTTTCTAAAATCCAAGCCTTTGAATGGTCTGATCACATAAACAAAATCATTCAAAGAGTCCTTCAATCAATTTGACACAGGTAATCACAATGTGAAAACAAATTCATAAGTAAATGTTTTACAAATATGCTTGTGTAAAGAATGATAATTTTGTCATCCACTGTCCTTGCCAAGGGAGTGTAAGCTGTTTTTACTGGTGATGGTATTGTGGGTTTAAACATGACAGCCCTTTGTCATGTTTACCTGGGATTAAACTCATTATTGTTTGATGCATGTGGATAAAAAAGCATATCACATTCCCACTCTTCTGACACAAGCCATGCTGCTGCCATGCATCCTGTATCTGTACTCTGCAAGTATGTTGCCTGTAACCCTGTTACCCCTTCGCGCCATTTTATTTGTATTGCTGTTGCCATTGTTTCTTTCTTCTGTGCTATTTCCATTATTTTGGCTGAGCATTAATGCCATGTTTTGTGTACTTGAAAAGTAGCCAGGTTCAAACTGAAGTGGCCCATCAATCCAATTTTTCCTGCTTGTCTTTTGACCAATGATGTATTTACCTCCAGACCTTTGAGAACTAGCATGATCATGAAGATCATGAAGATCTGGCAAATCCGGTGATTCTATGGTCTGTCGTTAGTAACAGGTCTTCTTTTTGTGTCATTGAACAAGAACGCCCCTCCCTTTTTGGACCTGGTTTCAAGTCTTAGTTTGGTTATGCTCGCAATGCATACTGGGACAAGTACTGGACCTTTCCACAATTAGAACTTTTTATCATTAATTTATAGCATTCCATGACTTTTCCAACCATTTTACTTTTTTTTTTCTACTAGTCATGTGAATTACGGTTTGTTTTGCTCATTTTTCATGTGCCATATACACTTGTTTCATGCTACCCATTTTGCAGCCTGGAAACTAGAGCCTGGCTGCAATCAGTATCTGAGTAGGTTATATGGTAGTCTTCAAGGGTATTTAATAATGTCTATTACAGAACCCCACTTGATTTCTCAAAACGTAGTCACAAAATAAAAAATAGTTTAGGTGGGTAGCTGCGTCAGCATGCGTAGGCTGCATAGGAATAAGTTATAGGTTTATTCCATGCTGAAAAAAAGAAAGAAAGAAAGCACAACATTTCGGCCGTGGGGCCTTCTTCTCACACCTGAAGAAGGCCCCACGGCCTAAATGTGTTTTCTTTCTTGTTCTTTTACAAAATAAGAAAGTTGTGCGTGTATGTTGAAGGAAGCTGGTTTTACCAGTTATGTTTATTAAGAAATACATTGTAAAAGAATAAAAAAATAAAATATTCAAATTTCAAACCTAGGCTTGTGTGGTATCACTATTTTTTACATTACGATACTCATGGGTTTGTATTGTTAACTTTAAAAAGTATATTCTAAGAACAAGATATCCATCATTGTGTTTTTTTTTAAAGGTAAAAAATAAATTATGGAAAATGAGGATTGATGGTCAGCTGCTGAATAGTTTGGGTGGCATTATTTAATGCCTCATAACCCTGGAGGATAATTTTATTTTATTTTTTCTGTATTGTGTTTTGGTTAATGTTTATATTCTGGCCAATAGTAAACAGTGGAAAAAATCTGCGGTTATAATATTTTTTCATTAGTCCTTTGCTTTTTTAAACAATGAAATATCTGTGAATGATGCCACCTAACATGTTTTCATGTGTAAACGTTCTTAGGCTGGTTTTGTGAAAAACTGGTGGATTATCATAACTACTGCAAATATAGGATCTCTTTAGTTGCAGAAACATATGCTGTGTGTTTAGAGAAACAATAATGGCACAACCTTATTTTCCTCATTCCTTCTCATGAGCACCAGATCTACAGGTGACCATTGGATCCACCTGATGGCTCAGCTGTTGCATAAATTTGACATTGACCTTATAACGGCATTCAAAAATTAAACTGTTTTTGTTTTTCTGGTCACATTAACTGATTTTTGTTCACATGATTCCCCAAAAAGAATGCCGGTATTTCCTTAATTGTATACTTTTCCTTTGATCCTAAAGCTGAATTTCATCTTCATGTGTGCTTTGTGAGGTTTGCAGGCATGGATACCTAAGCTTAAAAAACTGGTCAGAGAGATGAAAAGCCATAAGTGCTATCTTAATTCTGTGGCTGCCATTCTTGCAACAGACAATCCTTTAGATAATGCTGTTGGTTAAAGTTGCTTAATTTATGGTGTTTTCCAAGTTGTGGTTTTGTATAATTACCTTTTTCCTTGTTTCTCCCACCTCACTATTCAATTGGCAGCAGAACTATCTGTTCATGATATAGAGTTTTTTTGTTGGTTTATTAGTTTGTTAGTTATATGGCTAAGCATTTTACTTGATTTTAAGGCTGTAATTAATTTTTGAGCATTTATATGCATTGTTTTAATTTAAATGATCTCATCCAGCGCCATAATTTCTTCTCATGCATATATCAGATAGTGTTGATGCGATAGGAGTTCATGATTTACATTTCTTGTAAAGATATTTTTCTTCTTTTTTGGACCCCTTGCCTGTAGAAAACAAAATATGTAGGCCTTTTACTGCTTCTAATCGTTTAATTTAACCTTATAGTGCATTTTTCACTAACTTCATCCTTTTCATCTCATGTCCATTTTGCATTACTGGAGAATACCATCAGAAGCTGTTGTTAACTGTGGGCTAGCTTCACTTTCTCATGTGTTCCTTTTTTTGATTGTTCCATTTATTGTTTTTTTTATTTTTGATTCCCTTCCTCAGCCTCCTCGCCGTGGTCGTAGCATGTCAGTTTGCGCCCCCCATCTTTACTCCATCTCTCCTCTGTCCTGCCCACCCAAGCCACCCTCCACTCCTCCACCAGTCCTGTCCGCTTCCCTCTCACACTGCCACGGGACTCCCATTGGAGAGACCTTTGCGGGACGCCTTTCCAAAGCACTGGAATGTGTCCTGCCCATGCATTCGGCTTCACCGCGTCGCCGTGCCAGCCTCCCGGCACTGTTTGCAAGCACTGTATGTTAGTGCATCTGCGGGCCACAGGTTATGTGACAAGGGCCACTGAATGAGCTGTTTCTGGGAAAGGTAGCAAAGAGTGTCTGAATTAAAGAAAAATCATGTTTTAAGAAGTGATTTATGTCTTGTGTACAAGTGAGAGGGAAATCAGGGGATTTTCCTGTGTAGAATCAAAAGGTATATGACCCCTAAAAAGTAAATATTTTTGTTTCTTATGTGGTTTACTGGGACCTGTGATGCTTTCTGGCAGGCTACATAGAGAAGTGAGGTCTAAACTTCATTTATAATTGATCTAATAGTTTTATAGATGGTAATTTAAGTATACTATGTCTTCAGATGTACATGTAATCTTTCATTTCCTATGAAATCTATAGTGTAAGCCTCAGAAAACATAAAAACATCTTTGCAGTGTTACCGTTTGCTATCTTAGAATAGTGCATGCCCTTGGGCATGGAGAGATGTTCACAGTCTAGGTATTATCATTGCTGTGGAAAACTAGTAAAGTTTGTGCTTCATTGGTGTAATACTCTTCTTAACTCTGGTTTTAGCCATTCTGGTAGCATTTGTTTGCATAATAAGTTTATTGAGCTACCAGATGAGCACATACCCTGATACAAAAACAATATTCATATGACTTGGTAACAATTAGGTTTATTGTACTTTGTGCCAAGTGGTGCAATGTTTTGAAGTTTTTGCTGTTTTCATTCATCATTTTAAAACTAGCAAGATTCAAATCTGTGCTTGTTAACTAAATGTAATAATACTGTTAGTAAATCTGTTTCAGACAGAAAAGAAAAGCTGATGAATGTCTAAGGAGTTTCATTAATCAGATACTACTGTGCTACTTTCCCATTACATTTCATTTGGTGCCCTGTGTTCATATTAAATACAGACTGTATCTGGTAAACTGCCTTTTAAACCAGGTTGGACTGTTTTGCTCTTGTCTGTATTTTCTGTATTCAGCTGGGTGAATTTTAATTGCATGTTTTGGAACAATATTAAAATTTATACGACAAATAGACATGTTTTAAAGTTTAAGAAATTAAACCATCTCCATTTCTGCTTGTGCTCTGTGATCAATATTACTATTAAATATATTACTAGGGGCAAATAGTATTTGTCAACTTGAAGACCAATACAGGCCTAAATACAGGTTGTCAAAACAGTGTAGGCATCATAATGTATTTTTTAAGCTTATTCATTCTTTTAATTTTGACAAATTGTATAGGTATAAAAGTAAAGGAACAAGTAAAGGTTTATTTCATGCTGAAAAGAGAAGAAAGGAAACACAATGTTTTGACTGTGAAGCCTTCTTCCGGAGTCAATTTATCTAAGTATCCTGTTGGTAGATATTTGCTTCATACTTGATACGATGGCTTGTGCATTGCTGAAGTTAATAAATCTTTACTAGCTTTTCACTCAGTGTTGCTAGTCTTTTAGGCTTCAGATTTGTTTTATTAGTTGGATATGCCACGTATAGTTCTTATAATAAATTCACAAAGAGTAGAATATTGTTTTTTACTATTATATTACCAAAGGCAGTTTCTTTAAATCAAATTTAATATTTTTTTTCAAGGAATATCTTTTGAGGCAGAAAGCTTGAAACAAGAACGCAGCAGTCCATGAACCTGAAATGGTGCAGTGCATCACGCAGCTGTATTTAAAAAAGAAACTTTAGAATTTAATTGTCTTTTTTTCTAAAAAGATGTTTATTCAGTGATGTTAGGGAACAGTTATGCACTTATATAATGCTATATTATTGCTTTTAATTCTTACTGGATATGATGCATTTTCTTTATAAAGATGATCTATCTTGTTCATGTTAATGCAGCCACAGTCAATGACGTATCCTTATGGTGGGGGAGCTCCAGCCCTCCCAGAAAATGCGATATTTTACCCGATCATCCCAGAGAGGCCTATCTCCTTCTCTCCTCCTCCTGCCTGCCCTCCTAAAATGGTCAATACTCAACGACGCAAGAGTACCTCCATTCTGGAAGCTCATACTCGTCATTTTCAGCCAGCATACAGGACCTTTGGCAGCACCCTCCACTCATTTGCTGGAGCTGAATCGGTAGCTGGGAGCCATGAACCATCGCTTTTGCTTATGCCTGGGATGATACCCAAGCGTCTTACTGAACCAGTTCGTGTACAGGGCCAGTTTGATCAGGTGTATGGATATAAAGACACTAGGACTGATGTTTCTCAGCAAGATGAGGCTCTGCATAGACTGAGTCAAGCTGCCATGCTGGCCAGTGGTATTCAGCCAGTTCAAGACCACTATGAGGCTGCGGCCTTTGGTGGCTACCCAGTGACTGCTCATCCACTGAACCAGCTCAGCCTGCACACAGCAACTGGCCTGCTGTATGATCCCTCCCGCACTGGACAGACATATCTGCCTGCTCATGTGCAGAACATGCGGTTAACATCTCAGCTGCCAACCATGAGTGTTTCGGGACCTGCCTCAGTCTCCTCTGCAGAGATGTGCTACCAGCATATTTCCTTCCCTCATTCAGCACCACCTGTGCTAGCTCACACAGGTGAGCCTCCAAGCAACAATATTTTCGAATTTCATGTGCAAAATGTCCCAGTGGATGGCAGTGGAAGTTATGCTTCCCGTCTTTACAGGGCACGCCATGGTTCCATGGACTTGAACCTAGAGGAATCTTCCTGCTCTGCAGGTCTGTATAGCCGGCTCCAGCCAGTCACTGAAGAGATCTACAGCTATGTGAGCCCAGAGCTACCACTGCCTCCAGGGAACTTGCTCCTGCATGGCTTGAGAGATCGCAGTCCAGAGCCATCCAGTGACTCAGTAGCCTCTTCTGACACAAGCGAATTCCACTCTCCTCCTCCTCCTCATGGCCACCATGGTGACGTCTCGGCTGCACAGTCCATCCCACAGACTACCTATTATAGCATTTCCCATGGGAATTCCATTGCTGCACACCCGAACCACCCAGCCTTTCTGTTTTTGCCAGCCACGGATTCTACTGGAGGGTCCGCTGCCCATCTGCACGTACTGGAAGGCTCCTGGGCCCACCAACTACCGATCCAGCAAGACCTTAGTTACACAGATTCAGCCCTGATGCTTCAGGGCTTGCCTTTGGTATTAAAAACACCGGTCTGCCGGTGCCTTGGCAATTTTGATTAATATCTCGTCATATTTTAGCCCTTTCCAGCTGTGCTTTCCAAATCTCTTTGACAATTGTCATATTGATCAGGTGCTTAGAAGAAATGTTGTCAATTACTTCCACATTCCGAACCCTCTTGGAATGTTTTTAATTTTCCTATGTGTGTACAGCTTAAAAAACTTGTCAGCTGATCCATCTACCCATCGAAACCAGTTCAGTCATGTATGTTAGTCTGTGTGTAACTATGGATTATATGTAAATTGTATCTTGGTATGCAGACATATAACTATATATATATATGTATTCTTCATAAAATATCAGTTGTGCTGCTGAAGGCTCATTTTGATCTGTTAGGTAATCCAAAGCTCAAATGTACTTGGATGCATCTTTAGATGTCAGACAAAGCACCTTCTTCTGCAACATTATAGAAATCTAGTATGTCAAGCATGTGAAGGATGAAACCATCAGCTCAGGGCATTTCTTCAATATCTGCAGCTATTTTAACCTTAGATTAGAGACAATAATTCAATTTAATTTTGAAGATTGATGGAAATGTATACAAAGAGTGGAAGATTTTGGACAGGTTTATCTGTATACCTGTGGTTCACAGGTTTAAGTAACTAACCAGAAGTACATTTTTCTTTGATAGTAAAGTATACTGTTTTTTTATTTTGCCAGGTACAGAGATCACTGTTAACTGTTTATTCATGCTGGCTGGAAATGGTTAAAATAAGTTTATGCTTTTTTTTTAATTATTAGCACCAGTCACAAAAGTAATAATACAAAACTTCTACAGTCACATTTTATGTGTATTCCACTAAATTTAAGAACTGTTGAACTGTCGGTTAACCCTTAGAATGCTGGAATTTCCAGTGTCATTCCACAAACTCTACACTGCTTTATTCAGCTTTGCATCTTTCCTAAAGCACTTACAAGAATTTTGTGATTCTTACTCCAAACGCCTCTTACTTTCATGAAAACAGTCCTTCTGTCCAAAAACAAAGGTAAGGTAGGTTGACTGTGAAATGCAATTATACTTGTCTGTGGCCTCTAAAAGAGCACATAACAAGTATTTTTGTCTGCAGCCTTCTAAGGGTTGGTTCTGTTATGATGAGGCATAACTAGAACTAACTAGATTTTTAACTAGATTCTTAAACAGAAGAAACAATGCACTTTAGCTTAACCTTCACAAAAGAAAAGCTGTCATTCAGTAATTTGTGCATGAAATGTACTCATTTTCAACTAACAGCCATGTTTTTATGTATACATTCAGTAAACTAACTGAATGCTGTTTGCCCAATTCTATATGTTCTGTGTATAAATTATATGCAGTATAATTAAGGATCAGTAATAAAATCGAATATTGTGTGTTCAGCCCCATTCTGATTTCTGTTTCTATTCTTTTAATTCTAAAGCAGGCCCAGGTTTCCTGTCCATTGCCTCCTGGTGGTCCTTTAGCACCCACTTCTCAGTCAGGATCAGTTGCTGGTCAGCAGGTAACACTATTCCTTCATAGTCTCTTAAATGACAACTTTGTTTTATCTTTCTCCCCAGATGAGTACTAGTGAATCTAGAGATGCTTCTTCTTACGCTGTGTTGTGTTTGTTTTTTATAGTATGGAGGTTACTACGTCCCATCGCTCCCTCCACAGGTAGAGAAAGACTATTTCAAAACCAGCACATTTATGTTGTTGTGTGAATGGTTTTATTTATTCATCTCACATATTTTGTTTTACTTCACCATGAAGCATTTCTTTGGAAATCTAAATTTAATTTTGCTCAGGTTGGGAGTGGTGAGTATGGGAGGGTTTTAGGAGGCTGCAAAGTTTTGATGCATGAGCTCTAAAGGTAAGTCAATGATTTACTGCCTTGGAGTCAAATGAATAAAAGATGGAAAAATGTATGTTTTGCTGCTGTGAACATAAATTGTTGACAATTGAATAACTGTTCAGCGATGTTCCACATCAGAGTAACTCAGATGTTTAGAAATAAAAGCTTACCATCTAATTTTTAGATCTTGGATTTGTCATTATTTATAAAAGTATATCCCAAATGTTTTAATGTACCTACACAGGACAGATACTCCAACCAGGGTGTAATTAGCACTAATCTTTGATAACCTAATGATATTGTTTAGGAATGTTGATAATTCTGGTCTATGACGCTAGCATTAATAATAATTGCTTACACTTATATAGAGCTTTTCTGGACACTCCATTCAAAGCGCTTTACAGGTAATGGGGACTCCCCTCCACCACCACCAATGTGCAGCATCCACCTGGATGATGCGACGGTAGTCATAGTGCACCAGAATGCTCACCACACATCAGCTATCAGTGGGGAGGAGAGCAGAGTAATTAAGCCAATTCATAGATGGGGATTATAAGGAGGCCATGATTGGTAAGGGCCAATAGGAAATTTGGCCAGGACGCCAGGGTTACACCCCTACTCTTTTCAAGAAATACCCTGGGATTTTTAATGACCACAGAGAGTCAGGACTTCGGTTTTACTTCTCATCCGAAGGACAGTGCCTGTTTACGGTATAGTGTCGCTGTCACTATTCTGGGGCATTAGGACCCACATGGACGGACTGCAGGGTGAGCGCCACCTTCTGGCCCCATTAACACCTCTTCCAGCTGCAACCTTAGTTTTTCCCAAGGGGTCTCCCAACCAGGTACTGACCAGGCTCACACCTGCTTACTTTCATGGGTTGCCAGTTGTGAGTTGCAGAGTGATATGACTGCTGCTGCCAATTATAAGATTTATTTTAGTGGTTAAGAATTTTTTAAAATTTGCAAGTTGTTTCAAATATGCTTTGTTCGGGAAGCTTTTTTTTAATGTAGCATTTTTGTTTTATAGCAAGGAATTAGCTGGTAGTCAGGATTAATTCTTTAGGTTTTTAAGCATGTGAAAATAGGTACAGAGCTTGACAAGAACTGAAACTGACAGTTCTTAGATTTTACAAGGTTGCCAAGGCTTTGATGGCCTCTTCCTTGTTTTTCTTTTCAGGTGGCTCCTCAACAGAGCTCTCATCTTCCTTCTTCTCAGCCTTTGGTTTCACATCCAATGCAGCAGCAGTCGGTTTGCACTTCAGGGCAGTCTGTGTCCCAGTTGCAGATCCACCAGGGTTCAGCACCCACACAGGTAAATTTTAACACCAAATAGTGAGTGCAGTATTTCTTTGCAGTAAACTTTTACCTCTAGAGACCTGAGCTCAAGTTTTGGTGAGAAGTGTAAAATATGTTCAGTTCAGTGAACTAAGGATTTAGAAACCTTTCATCAGAGGCTTGCCCAAAGCTTCTTGACTGTTCCTTGGGATACATTGTTGTCTGTGTATTGTACAACATAAACTACAAACATGACAGAACAGGGTCACTTAATTGAATTTAAATGGCAACTGCAAATGTCATCAAGGACATTTACATAAAAACCTCCCGTGGGTCACATGATATAATTTTCTCTATATGGAGAGTATGGAGAGTTTGTTACATGTATAAAGATCAAGTGGTGCAGTAAGTCATTTCTACAGAATATCCAGTTATAACCGACCTATAACCTATAAGCGTTTCATACTTCAGAAGGGTAAAGAACAGAACCAGTTAAGTAAAGGCTCTTTTAAAAGTTTTTGAGTCTAGATTAGAAGGAGTTTAGAGAAGGTGACTCTCTGATATCCTTGGGGATAGAGTTCCAGAGCTGTGGAGCATAACAGAAAAAGGCCCTGTCAGCCATACAGTGTAGACAGGGACAGATACCAGAGAGACCAGAATTAGAGGAGCAATGATTGTGAGGTGGGGAGTAAGACAATAGTAGCTCAGACAGGCACTGAGGTACCAAGCCATGCAGAGCTGTATGGGTGAGCCTGAGGACTTTGAAAAGAACATACTGTAGTTTGTTCAGTGTGGACGTGGAAACTCCAGTGAGTAGAGAGCTACAGTAGTCGATTCGGGAGAAGAGAAGGTTTAAATCAGTTTTTCTGCCACAGATAACAATATTATAGGATGTAATCTAGCAATATTTCTGAGGTGAAGGAAAGATGTTTTGATAATATGTTGCACATGTGGGTCGAGTGTCAAGCCTTTATTTTCTGAATCAACCCCAGCTTTTTCAATTTAGACAGCATATCTGTTTAATTCAGCAAATAGTAACTGTGCTTTAAAATTTGCAGAAATATTTCAAGTTTAAGTTTGTTTGCTGCAAAGGTTGTCTTAACTTCTTTTAACTTAGAAAATCAACAAAACATAATTTGGTCAGGGGTGCCAAAACTTTTGCATACAACTGTAGGTACTTTTTAAAGTATGTATAAGTAAGTAATGTATTTCAGAAAATAAATGTAGCAAACAAAGTAATGTACTTTGTTTGAATCTGTGAATCTCAAAGATGGTTTTCCGAACTCATACATCAGAAAGACCACCGAAACCAAAATTATTCTGCAGCTAGGATCACACATTCTCCTTTCTCTTAACGACAGACTGCTGTTCTTTTACATTTTCTGCATTCATTGGAAGTTTCATTTCACACCTCTCTGCACCCATTCTGACCACACCTCTTGATTGGCCTCTCTTTCTGTCCCCTGCTCCCGCCTCTCACTCCTCCTCCCTCCCAACCTTTGTTCTCTCACTACTTTACCTTTGCCTACTGCCCTGTCTCTCTCACACCTGAAGAAGGCTCCACGGCCGAAATGTTGTGTTCTCTTTCTTTTTTCAGCATGGAATAAACCTATTGTTCCTTTGCAGCCTACGCATGCTGACGCAGCTACCCACCCAAAGTAATGTACTGTTTACAATTACAAATGCCAAGCATCTTTTGACATTCAGAGTGTTTCTGAGTGTGTAAAAAATGCCCTGTTGAGATTACTACTGAAGTTCAAATATTCGGGTTTAAGCAGTCTTGCTTGAATTATGGAATTTATTAGATTTAGTTGTGGTTTATTTTAGGAGCAAAATTCTAATTCCTTACTTCCTAAGAGTAGTATTATGAAACTTTGTCAACTTAAAATACATTTTAAGTGTTTTTATAATATCCAGCGTTCTCTATCAGGTAATAATTTTTGTACTATTTTTGTCTTTGGAACGCTATCCGTTATTGCATGGCTGTTAGCTTTTTGCTAGAGAGCCGAGCCCATAAGTTCTTTCCCCTTCATCAAGTGCTGAACACCTGCACTTTTTGTCCCAGGCTGCCTAGCTAACTGTTGTTAGCTAATATGTCTTTAGTCATATGGGTTTAGTGTACTGGTTTATTCATTTTTGATGAACTCATGCTCGTATTGTTTATTAATGGTATTCCCTATTTAGTTTGCGGTTTGTGGCTGTGTGTATGGAACCTGTCACTTTCAAATTAGTATAGGGTTAATTGGTGGTTTGTGTTTTGAACAGAAAACATTTTAGCCAGTTTGACTTCATTGTTGAGGCTTCAAATCAAAAACTTTTTTCATTAATTTTTTTAAAACAGTTTGTGTTTGAACATTGCCCTTGCTCAGTCTCCCTTAAAGTACATGGCTTTCACATTTTGCTTATTTAAGTATTTATTATAAAGGTGGCATTTGTTTGAGCTACTGAGACACATTTATTAAGTCAGAAATAATAGTTGGTCCATTACCTAACCTACTATATGGGTAAAAAAAAGTTAAACAACTTTTAAACTTGTTGAAGATTTTACTGCAGTACATTAAAGAAGGTATTGTGTGTTTACTAAGGTAGCAATGCATTCACCTGCTACTTGCAGTTTCAGTGCTTTTTCTGGAGGAAATAGACACTAATTCTCTTACAGTGTTATTAGCACCCTTAACACATAATTAGCACCCTCCAAAACTATCAGTTAACTAGTTTATTTAGGTATACTTACTATTGTTTACACATTTTTCTTTATTTGAATGTTGTCTGTAACTTTGTCTGAATTGAGTTGTGTTGAATTAGGGGTTGGCAAGACAATTGACTTCATAAATAATCTCTTGTGCATGCACTGTTATTGGATCTGTTCTATTTCTATTTTAAACATTTGTGATCTAGTATAGCAGTATTGTTAGTGAATAATTAGTTGAAACAAATAACTGGATAGTTGCAATATGTGATGGGCAACTTTCTAAAGTGTTAGTCAATCACTGAAATTCCTTGAAATACTATCCTGAAGAACTGAAGAAATATTTTATGGCATTTTTGGAGAAATGGTCACTTTCTGAAGTTCACAAATTTCTAAAGGATCAATTACAGTGGGTATATAAAGTCACCACCCACTTTCAAACTTTGTCTGTTTTGGTGCATCACATTCTGAAAATAAAACAAATTAAATTAGGCTTGTTCCATTTTTATTCACACACAGTAACCTACATTATCCAAGTGAAAATAAAATGAATTAATATTATAACGGTAAAATACCTTATTTGGATAAGTGAACACTCTCTTTACAATTGCATTCATAAACTTGCTCAGGTGTAACCAATCACTTTACAGATCACAAAACAAACTAATTGGCTCCCACTTGTGATCAGTTGTTCAGAAGCAGCTTCAGAAGATTTTGATTAGTTCATAAGCAGCTGTTTCTAGAGGATTTCACTGCTTGGAAGTGCATTTCAAAGCACATAATCTACTATGAGCACAAAGGTGTTTTCAAAAGAACTTAAAGGTAAAGTTGTAGAAAGGCACAAGTCAGGAGATGGTTATAAAGGTTTGAATGGTTATTCAAAGGCTTTAAGTATCCCATGGAGCACAGTCAAGACTGTCATTAAGAAGTGGGAGATCAGGCTGTCCCTCCAAACTGGATGACTGAGAAGGACGGAGACTGCTCAGAGATGCTACCAAGAGGCTGATGGCGACTTTGAATGAGCTACAGGCCTTTATGTCAAAGACAATATCACAAGCGCTCAACAAATCCAAATTGAGCTTTTTGGCCGGAATGTTACACTGTACGTCTTGCAAAAACGCAATACATCTTACCATCCAAAGAACACCATTCCTACAGTAAAGCACGGTGGTGGCAGCATCCTGTTGTGGGGGTGTTTCTCTTCAGCTGGGACTGGGGCACTTGTCAGGATAGAAGGGAAGATGGATGGAGCAAATTCCTGCAGAAAACCTGCAGCCCTCAGCCAGAAAGTCAAAATTGGGAAGATGGTTCACCTTTGAATATGACAATGGCCCAAAGCACACAGCCAAAGCAACCGTACAGTGGCTGAAGGACAGGAAGGTGAATGTCCTTGAATGGCCTAGTCAGGGCCCCGACCTAAATCCCACTGAAATTTTTCGAATGACTTGAAGATTGCAATTCATTAACGGTCACCTCGCAGTTTGACTGAGCTTGAACAATTCTGTAAGGAGGAATGGGCAAATATTCCCCCGTCTAGGTGTGCAAAGTTGGTAGAGATGTATCCAAACAGACTCAAGAATGTAAATCATGCAAAAGGTGCTTCCACCAAGCATTAACTCAGGGTCTTCTTTCTATTTTGTTTTTCAGAAATTTTGCTTTCTTTTTTCACTTGGATATTGCAAGGTACAATTTGTAAATAAAACTGGAGAAAGTTATTTTATTTGTCTTCTTTTTGGGCTTTGGGGCAACACAAGGTAAACATTTTGAAAGGGGGTGGTGACTTTCTATATCCACTCTATAAACATTAAATTATTTGTAATATATATGCAGAGCCTTGCAAAAGTATTCAGAAAAATAAAAAAGGCAATATGCTGTTTGCATTAGTATTCATTCCCCACATTTTAATATTTTGTAGAGCCACCTTTTGTAGCAAGCAGCTTTAGGTCTTTTGGGGTAAGTATATACCAGCTTTGTGCACTGTTCAGGAGTGATTTTGGCCCATTCTTCCAGGCAGATTTGCTCCAGGTTGTTCGGGTTAGTCAGATGACGCTTGTGCACCACAATTTTCAAATAGTGCCACAGATTCTCAGTTGGATTGAGATCAGGGCTTTGACTGGACCATTGTAGGACATTTACCTTTTTGTTCTTGAGCCACTCCAATGTTACTTTGGCCTTGTGTTTGGGATCATTGTCCTGCTGAAAGATGAACTTCAGTTTTTTAGCAGACTGAAACAGGGTCTCTTGCAGTATTTCCCTCTATTTTGAACGTTCCATTTTTCCTTCTATTTTAACAAGATGCCCAGTCCCTGCTGGTGAAAAGCAGCCCCACACCATGATGCTACCACCAC